GAGGCCTGTGTGTTGGATTAGGGACTGCTTGCGCAGCTCTTTGCTACGAAATGGCACATCGGCACTCGAATTCGGTACGTTCTTCCCCTCCGTCATGCTGCCTGCAAAATGAAAAAAAAAAAAAAGAATTAGTCTCGATTAGGCAACGGAATAATGCGGTTTAATGCGGAAATTAAACTATTATTAGCTCACGATAATGAAAATATACAAGGCGACATTGTTGATAGGGAACTATACAGGCCGAAGACACTCATGCGAATGCGATATGATCTTCCCCATTTACTAATTACATTTCAGTACATACGGTAAAAATATAGAGTAGAGTATTTTCGTAGTCATTCGATAAGAGTTTTGAGAAATAATTACATACGTCTCATATAGATTTAGTCGAGATTGATTCACGTTCGGATGAAGCGATAGGCACGTGTAGATCAGCTGGGAATATAATCTTCTATACATATATAATTGTATGGGGTCAGCGATCGCTAATAAAATTGTCGTTTACGACCATATTTCTTATATTGACGTATATACGAGGTCTGTTCGAAAAGTTAAACAAATTTGTAGTTCTGGGAGTTATGTATTAGCTCGAATATAGAGATACTTTTTGAATATAACTCGTATACATTTGATATGTCTGAGACAGCCTTGCCTATATTAAACATATAACATACGAGCCCGATATTCAATTGCATTTATTGAGACTTTGCTCGAATATCTTCGATACAATGTGATCTTATTTGCAATATGATCTTACTATCGCACGATCTACGATCGTTTCACCTTTAACTCGAGAACTTTTTAACTGTTTCCAAGAGAGGATTTATTTTTCACATGCCAAACAAAAGTCTATTTACTTTATTTGTACTTTATTTGTTTTTGTTGCGGTTGACTTTGTACTCTTTGGAAATTGGAGCCAAGCCCCAAAGCTTTGTTGGTTGAACGGTCGAGCCCTCTACAAAATACTGACACAAATACATACGTACACACAAAAATACATGTATATATTATATACACATGTCTGTATTGTAAGACAGTTGTTATCTATAAATTTGTTGAAGCTTTTTGGGTTTTTGTCTAAAATTATTCGTTGGCAGAGTCCAGAGAGTAAATAGATAAGAGACAAATAATGATCGAGTGATGTCAATTATTTACACGAGCTCATTTCAAGCTCTATGTACGTATATACTGCAGATACATACATGTGTACATATATGTGTAAGTAGACAGTAATTTTTTAGTGCTTTTCGTGATGTAGCTGATCACAGAGTCCAAGTTCGAGTCAATGTCACTCGGAGTTCTCTTTTTATATACACGAATAGGGTAATTTTCCTATATACAAACATATATGCGACTTGGCCGTTTAATCGTTTCGTCATTTAGATTTATAAATAAAGATGTAGGGACCGTATAAGTACATATATATATATTACATATGTATATGTATGCATTCTAAGCTTTCGATCAATAAATTTTTAGTATTATTTATCAGTTTTAATTATAGCCGCAGACTGATCAAGCAAGAGCTATTAAAGAATTTGTATGTTGCTGCCTTCAAGTTTACCTTGTTGTTGCAATTATTGGTAACAGCGATAAGAAGCAACCACAATGTTAACACTAGTGCCGATACTTTAACAAAACACTAAAGAACAGATAGAGGGGGAGAGGGAGTACGCGCGCGTGCTTGTATAGTTTTATTGTATTGCGTTCGCTTTTCGTTTGAAGAAATACTGCTAGAGTAAGGGGGAGAGAGAGTACTTGCTAGTCTTTCACTTGCTTGAAGAGACGGTGTTGGAGTGAAGGAGAGATCACTTATTTATATTGCACTTCGATGTGTTTTTGTTTATTCGTATGCAGAACGGGTGTTAGAGCGGTGTTAGGAAGGAGCACGTGTTTCTTTTTATTTTTGTATGGAGTCGGAGTTAGGAGCAGAACGAGCGTGTTTTTATTGTGTCTCACTTAATATGTTTTTTGTTGTTTTTTTTACAGCTGTTTTTAATATTTTTTATATATTTTTTTTAGGAGACACACACGACATCTGTTCAAGGCGAGCGCCAAAAAGTATCTGAAAGTCAGGGAGCCAGTGACAGCTGCTCGAACCGCCAGCCATATCAAAGTGAAGGCGCGTCTATGTATACTATATAATTATATATGTATGTATATATTTATAACAAGAGCTTTTACTGCAGGCAGCGACGCATTGAAAACAAACATTGACACGACACACAATCCCAAGTGCGATAAATACAGGAGAAAGAAGAGTGAACAGCTGATAAGAAAAGCCGGCTGATTTGAGAGTAGAAGGTAAGAGAGACAGAGAGAGAAATACAGGCGACAGGAGAGACGGGTCAGAGTGTGGGTGGGCGCATTGTTTTGGCATTTAAACAAATACATACATATGCTTACAATTTCTATTACAGTGCGTATCATAAATATGCCAACAAATGATAAGTAAATCGATTTATTACACTAACAATAAAAATATAAAACATACCATTTAGTATAGCTAGAACTGGCCAAAATTAAAACAATAAAAAAAGCTAGAAATTATATTAGAAAAAAGTTAATAACATAAAATAATAACAAATATGATAAAGAAAATATTAACAAAAAACAAATTAATACCAAGAAAAAATATTCTCGTAATTTCATTGAAAAAAAAAAAAAATATATATATATATATATTTATTTTTATTAATTTTTTTGATATGCAATTATACATATAGAAGTCATTCACACAATGAATCTGTTTCACTTGCATTCATTGAGCTTCTTAAAATAGCGCAAATAATGCTAAAAATAATTGAGTTTAAAATTTTTTGAATTCCAACCTTTTGACAATATAAGCGAAAAGAAACGTGTTTTGTGCAGCGATTTCATTCAACTTCATTAATACTGTTTAAAAATGCAAAATATACAAAAATCAGCTATGGGCCAATGATAGCGAGTGATGAAATCTATTCGAAATATACCCTAACTTCGCGTATGGTATGTGAGCTGAATGAAGTGTTTCTTGCAGGGCATACAAAGTTCGTAGAGTTACTTACATATATTGACATATTTATAACCTGTGTGTGAAACACATATAAATAGGTGTTATATTTGCATTGTGGGGCAATTGGATGCACAGCAAGCGAATGAAACGAATATGATATATGCAGGTGCAGTTGTGCATATATTAAGTAAACACACATATAACTATATATACGAGTATGTATATATGCATATACCGTTGGGTCAACAAACCGAGTAACAAGGTGCAATACGAGAACTGTTTATTTTGATTGAAAAATGGAAATGAATAAATGCTGACAAGCAGATCGACAGAAACTAAAGAGTTGGCAAAACAACTTAAATAGATGGCGCCAGCAACAACTTATGATCGTAGGAGGTTCGGGTTAAATGAGTTGATTGACAGAGGAACAGTTGTTAAATAATATCAACAGATGGCAGCCACAATAAATTCTTATCAGAAGTCTATAAATCTATTATAATCAAATAGGCCGAAAATAGATAAGGAATGTTGTCAAAGAATAGTAATAGATGGCGGTAGCAATAAATTATAATTATATACCCGCCAGCGTCTAAAGGTCAAAGCTGTTTAATTAGTCGCTTTTATAAACACTTGGCCAACTGTTGGCTGTTAAACACACAAGCAGAGCGCACACACATGCAAATACAACGATAATTACAGTATTATAAAATATATGCACTTTTCGACACACACCTTGAAACGAATGCAAATGCGCAACAGCAAATGCAAAGCTTGTAAGGCAACAATTACGTAAATTTGATTTACAAAAACAAATAACAGCCGGCAGTCAACGTATGCAAATTATATATTTATTTCCGCGTTTGGTTGTCAACGCTCGCGCAGTTGGCGACAAACTGAACCAAAATCTATTGATGACTGTGCAAGATTGGCCAACGCGATCAATATAAACAAGAGAATAACAAGAGAAAGAGAGATCGAGAGAGAAAGCGACCAGTGCACCACTGCAGTGGTGGCTGTCAATGAGGCGTGCGTGGGTGGGCGAGCAGCAGCACGTGATGCTCAGCAGCTCAGAAGCTTAATAAAATAAATCAATAGGAGACAAACACGCACAGAGAAACATTAACACATGTGCATACATATATACATACCAGTGCAGAGAATACACAACTGCGAGCAGACAAGCCCCTCAAAGCTGCTTGGCGATTGGTCGGTTTTTATTTGCACTGATGACGTCACTGTTGCGAACAGCAGCCACACGTCAAACGTTTATCTTAGTTTCATGTTTGTTTATGTTTAAGGCGTATGGTGTTAATCGCGATTTACTTAATATCCAAACGTATAGACATTGCTGAGAGCAATGCACTGTCTTCTTAACTTAGAGCGATGTTTCTTAACAGCACAGTATTTACAAGACGAGCACGTGTACCGGTTTACTCACCCTAGACGTATTTCAGGCTAGCTATGTATATCACTATTTGTTATCATTTACACCACGAGAATGCTTTGATAAGCACCTGCAGCTTTTATGAACCACGGAAGCCATGAGTAAAACAACCTGCCATTAATTATATTGTTCTCCTAATAAAATCAACTCTCTGACGAGCCCTTTTTTCTGGTTGTTTATTGCCAATATACCAGGGCTGCGTAAATACTATACATCCGTCACCGTTCAGTTTGCCCAACAGTTTTGTAGTCGACGCAATCAAGATTTTTGTGAAATATAAGCATAGGTAATTGATAGAAATGTATGGGACTTCGGTATCCATGTTTATCATTGTTATAATTATTTTATTTTATTTTATTTTTTCAAAAATTGTGAGCGCTGTCGTTCAGTTTTCACAACTGTTGTGTCGCATTTACAATTTGCGCGCCAAAAGCTAAAAATTCAAATTCAATGAACGAATAACGATTTAAATACAGGTGCTTATCTATCTATGTTAAACTTTATTAGTTAATATAACAGTATTATTGCTGCAATCGTTTTTATATTTCATGTAAGCTTATCACCAAACATATGTGTGCGTAAATTGAGTAGGCTATTATCAAAATATAATTTTAGTTAACACTTGCAGCTATGGCACGCCAGTATTTGGACAAACACCATGGACAGCGGACGAATTGGGCTGGGAGAAGTGTACGATATACCTGAGCAACATACTGATAAGCGTTCGTTCAAGTCGATAGAGCAGAGCTTATTGTCACAGTTTGCCATATTGGCTAGCTTTTCGGGCGTTGTATTGGCACGTGCGATATTGACCCCAAGACGGACAAGTCGACTGAGTCCGACAATATGCTACCTATTGGAGTTTCCTTTGATTGTGGTGCCTGGTGTTCTTTTTGTGACAGTGGCTAGTGATTACTGCGCCCAATTCGTGGCAGTTATGATTGCTCTTCTATTCTTTTACATTATACGGACCCGTGCGATATCGCGAATCAAAAAGCAATCTCAATTTAATGTAGGTAGTCGGCCTATTGCCCTTACTGTGGGCCGTGCCCTGACTCATTTGATCACATCTATTTGTATACTCGCGATTGACTTTGGCAGCTTTGATCGCCGACATAGAAAGAGTCGACTATTTGGCGCTCGGCTCATGGACACGGGCATTGGACTCTTTGTGGTGGTGATGGGTTGGGTGTCTCGGCGTCCACGCAATTGCATTGAATTACGGCGTCATGTTCTACTATCTGCAATGCCGTTGATTCTACTGGGCATTGCTCGGGTCATCGCGCTCCTTGCTATTGACTATGGACAGGATGAACATGAGTATGGCGTCCATTTGAATGCATTCTTTACTCTGGGTCTGACCAAGCTTTTTGGTAGTATCTTTGGCTATTTCGCGCACACCGACTGGCAACTATTGCCTATGGCATTTTGTAAGTTCATAAACAAACAAATTCTAGACCTAAACTAATGTAATTCTTCATGCTTACAGGTGTTCTGGCATGCCATCAAGTGGCCCTCACCTTCGGCGGTATCTCGGAATATGTGATGGATGATGATGTACTTCGTACCACATTCTTGAGCGCTAATCGCGAGGGTATTTTTTCGATACCCGGTTTCGTGGCGCTTTATTTGTTATCTATTTACTTCGGCCGTTGGTTGTTTGCCAAAACGGTATATAGCTTTAAAGAAATGATTGGAAAACTTCGTAGTCTGCTTATCATAGTGATTGCTTGTTGGCTACTGATGGCAGTCGGCGCCTATGCAGTTGGTATCTCTCGAGTCACCTGCAATTTGGGCTACGTCATATGGATGTTTGCCATAATGAGCACCATGTTGTGGCTAACCATGGTAATTTTTAACCTTATATTCGAGGAAGCGAACGAACAGAAACTTGACGAGGCGCAGAGCCTAATGGACGAAGCCCAGTTTAATGAAACTGAGAATCTAGAGAAGGGTTTATTAATTCCATCGAAAACAGTTGCTATCAAGAGCAGCGGAACACAATGTATTATCATCGAGTCATTGAACATGAATGGTCTAATCTACTTCCTTTTGGCCAATATATCAACAGGTTGTGTCAATATCTTTTTGAAGCCCAAAAAGCGTTCGGATGCTTCCTCGGTGCTCATTTTACACATCTATATGTTTGTGGTGACGTTCGCCGTCTTTCAACTGTATAAAAGGCGTATTCGCATTGCCTAAATAATTTCATAATAAATTAACAAATCCTCTCACTGTGATAAATAAAATAACAAGTTTTCATATACATGTGTTTTTAATTTGATTGTTTAAGTATTTCTATTCGCTATTGAATAATAATATCGGTCAATTACCTTTTTGAAACTATATAGCAGGAATTTGTTAAATTTACAACATTTTGATACATTTTTAGCATCAACGGACGTTAAAAGAACGTTAGAGACAAGAACAAGCTCGCTTCCGTTCAGTTCATTAATAGTTCATTGCTGACTGGTTCACAGTGAGCTCAGTTTGTGGTGCTCTCTTTCACACTCTCTTCGTTGAGTAGAATTGGTTGAATAGAATCGCAACGAAAGTTAAGGAATTTCTGTGAATTAACGCGTGTATTATGAACACTTTGTAATATGCGTAATCTAAAAACCAATTCCATGGCGCATGCGCAGCTGCATGATGTGAATTCTTAAACAAATTTCAAATATGCTCAATCAATGCGACGTCATGGCAACGTAACTGTAAACAGGTGCATGCGTACTTAAAGTATTGCTATGGCAATCATTTACGGACGAAAACAGGTGTAAACAAGCTGCAGAGCGAAAAAAAACGTAAATTAAAAAATGTTTGTTTATCTAAGCAAAAAGGTAACAACAAAATATATTAAATATTCATTAATGAATATATTTAAATTTATCAATATCCATAGATCGCAATCCCCAACAATGTGAAGCTCAATTGCATTGCATGGAACAAGGAGGAAGGTTACATTGCGGTTGCCGGAACAGAGGGATTGCTGAAAGTGCTCAAATTGGATCAAGGTAAGCCAAAACAAATATTTATAATAATGAAAGAAATAAATAATAAGTAATTTATTGCAGCTGCTAATAATGGGCCGAGCAAAGGCGGCCTCGCCGCCGTTTCCAATCTCTCGATGAATCAGACATTGGATGGGCACAAGGAATCGGTCAAGGTGGTGACTTGGAACGATGCACAACATAAGCTAACCTCATCGGATGTAGACGGCGTTATAATGGTGTGGATGCTGTACAAGGGCGCCTGGTATGAGGAGATGACCAACGATCGTAAGAAATCAACGGTGGCTGGCATGAGCTGGACCTCGGATGGCACCAAAATCTGCATTGTCTATGAGGATGGCGCCATCATTGTAGGCTCGGTCGATGGCAATCGTATCTTTGGCAAGGAGCTTAAGAATACACATCTAACTGGCGTACAATGGAGTCCAGATAATCGGCTCATACTGTTTGCCCTGGCCAATGGCGAATGCCATCTGTACGATAATCAAGGAAACTTTGCGGTGCGTCTTAAGATGACCATAAAGATGATAAAGTTAATATATCATAATAATTTGATTCACAGATGAAACTTAACATTAAGTGCATTACGCTCAGCAGCTCAGCGGGTCGTATACAGCGCATTGCGAGCATCAGCTGGTTTAGCGGCACTCTGAACAATCGCAGTCGACCTGTTTTAGCGATTTGCTATGAGAACGGAAAGGTGCAAATTATGCGCAACGAAAACGATGATAGTGGGTGTATTGATTAATAGATATGAACTATTTATATTTATATTATTTATTTTCCCCGTAGATCCGGCAATTTTTGACACAGGCATGCGTAATGTGGACGCCAAGTGGAATCACGATGGCAGTGTGCTGGCCATTTGTGGTACATCTCTGGAGCCAGCCAGCCCAATGCGGGATACGAATCAGGTCTGCTTCTACTCACCGCTGGGACGGCTACACCGCACCCTAAAAGTGCCTGGCAGTGACATTACGTCTGTTAGCTGGGAGGGCAAATCGTTGCGCATTGCCATGGCTGTCGACTCGTTTATATATTTTGCCAATATAAGGCCCGAGTACATTTGGTGTTACTTTGAAAAGACGGTTGTCTTTCTCAACAGCAGCAATGGCAATGGCAGTGGCAGTGGCAGTGGCGGCAGCAGCAGCTCGACCAACGTCATCACCTTCTGGAACACGGTGTCCAATCAGAGTTTCCTCAAGGAGGTGGAGCCGACACTTTGCTTGGCTGCCAGCAACGAGCACTGTGTGATCGGCGTGGAATGTGTTAGCAGCAACATTAAGGAAATTGCGCTCAGCACACTGGAAGCACACAACAACAGCAACAACTCTGATGGCCGGGTCTATCAGCTATTGCTGTGCAACTCCATTGGGACAACAGTGGACTGTGAGTTAGCGGCATTGCTTGAAATAATATAGTTTTTATTGTATTTTTCTCTCACTCATCTTACAGCAAAGTATACGGATATCAAGCCTCGATTTGTGGGCATTAATACTGCTTACGTGGTGATTGCATCGTACGAGGAAATACTCATTTGGCATTATTATACGCCAAAGGTAAGTGTATATGTTATCTATATATGTATGTATATCTGTGTATCTACCTACGCATGTATGTTAATCCATTTGTCAATCTAATTAACTATCTATCAAAATAGTCATTCACTTATCCAAATACCTCTCTATCTACCCCTTGTTTATATATGTGCTCGGATATCTATCGACACAAAACTATCCATCTTTCGTTAACCCTTAGACTTTTACGATCGATATGTCACATTCACATTTTGTATACTCAATTCGAAATAATATCAATTATTTGTGTCATAAATTCGGAGCATGTCGCATAAATTTTGAACTAGAAACAAATAGAACAAATATCTCGATTGCAATTTGATACGCCATGACACTCGGGAAGGCAGTATGGAGATTGCCGGTCTGCGACACAATGATCGCAATTTTGGCCACATTTATGTGCATTGTGTTCGCTCGCATTGTAACTGGGATATATTCGCATCGGCTTAGTCGAAATAAATGCTATCTGGTTGAGTTCTTATTGATCGTTCCGCAGGCCATCCTCTTCACAACGGTGGCGAAAGCGTATATTCATTATTTTGTCGGACTTCTGATTATATTTTTGTGTATATATATTTTGTGCACGCGCGCCATTTCGCGTGCCAAAGCTCGCCGGGAATTCGATTTGGGCCGCCGGCCATTATGTTTAACCGTAGTGCGCGCCCTGACTCACATAATCACAGCCGTTTGTATACTGGCCATCGACTTTCAAATCTTTTATCGGCCATATCGAAAGAGCCGTACATTTGGTACCACTTTAATGGACACCGGAATTGGACTTTTTGTGCTTACCATGGGTCTGGTGTCGCGACGATCCCGAAACTGGTCAGATATACGTCGCTGTGCTCTGCGCTCCACATTGCCGCTGATCGTGTTGGGCTTCGTTCGGATTGGCTACAATCGTATGCTTAAGTTCGAGCAGGACGAGCACGAGTACGGCAGAGATATGAATGCGTTCTTTACGCTGGGCATCACCAAGTTCTTTGGCAGCCTACTCAGCCTGGTGGCACGCACTGATGCCCACCTCTTTCCGTTGGCCTGTGGCAAGTGTTATGACGAAAATGAAAGCATATATATTTTCTATATTCTATTTATATATTTATTTTCTATCTGCAGGACTTTTGTTGACCCATCAATTTTGTCTATCCTTTGGCTATCTTTCGCGAATCGTTATGGAGCATTATTTTCCACGCACCACACTGCTGTTTGCCAATCGTGAGGGTATCTTTTCGCTGCCCGGCTTCTTCGCCATTTACTTGCTGTCGATATGCTTTAGCAGGTGGTTGGTGCGCAACACATTGCTCAGCTATCAGGAGATGTTACGCAAGTTACGTGACCTACTTCTCATATCGTTAAGCTCTTGGCTGCTGATGGCCGCGGCCCATTACCTTGTGGGCGTCGCTCGGGTCACCTGCAATCTGGGCTATGTTATTTGGATGTGTGCCATATCCTTCACAATGATCACCCTGACCGTATTCATATGTGACTTTTGCATCGACAGCGTCATGTCCGATACGCTAATCAGCACAGTTACAGATTTAGATAAGTTGGAGAACAGAGAAACGGCTCCAGCATATATTATCTGCGAAGCCTTGAATATGAACGGTTTGACTTTCTTTCTCCTGGCCAATTTCCTGTTGAGTGGAGTTAAATATTTCTTAAGCCCACGATCACGATCTAGTATTACGTCGTTGCTAATTCTACTTATATACATGCTGATCACTACTTATCTAATATATCGATTGCACAGGAGGGGCATACGACTGGCCTAATGCTGATCTTCAGAATAATGTATAATATGAAAAATTGATTTATTATAATAAGATGATCAAGCCTCCAATTAAAACAAAGATTTGTTTTCATTTTAGAGCACATCCAACTTGCATGGCGTTAAGGCGCGCAAGGAAAAGAGATTTCACATTCATGATACGCCAACTGGCGTGGAATTGTCCAAGGATCTGCTGGTGCAGGGCGAGCAACGTCGAGTTATCGATCCAATCTGTGCGATTGCCGTATCCGAAAAACTGTTACTTGTCGCCTGTGAGTCGGGCGTGATAAATGAGTACAGTGTGGCGAATGTTTCCCTAAGAAATCGTCACACTATCCACACCAAGATCCACAAAATTGCCATCAATTGCAATTCGACGTAAGCAGCGCCTACTTCTTATTGCCTCATCCAAAATTTAAGTACTTATTTCATTCACAGTCGTGCGGCAATTATAGATAACTTGGGTGTGATGACGCTCTTGGATCTGGATGACAATCGGGAGACGCAGCTGAACTTTAGTCGTGTGGAACGCAAGGATGTTTGGGCTGTTAGCTGGGCGAAGGACAATCCCTTGTTGCTAGCGCTCATGGAGAAGACGCGCATGTACATCTTTCGAGGCAACGATCCCGAAGAGCCCATCTCTTGCTCTGGCTACATATGCACTTTTGAGGACTTGGAGATAACTAGCGTGCTGCTGGACGACATCATCAGCTGCGGTGAGCTGCAAAACTCCTCTCATCTCATACAATTGAGGGTGAAGTCGTTGCGCGACACGGACGATCTGTTGGAGCATGTTGGACTCGAGGATGCCAAGCAGTTCATTGAGGATAATCCACATCCACGTCTGTGGCGTCTGCTGGCAGAATCGGCGTTAAAGCAACTGGAGCTGGAGACAGCTGAGAATGCATTTGTACGCTGTGCCAACTATCCGGGGATTAAGCTGATCAAGCGGCTGCGTAATATCAGCTCACAAATACTGCAAAAGGCCGAAATCGCTGCCTTCTATGGAGAGTTTGATGAGGCCGAGAAGCTCTACATGGATGCAGATCGAAGGTATGATTAGATGAGCAATAATTAGTTTAGTTATTAAATATGTACCTTCTCTCGCTTCTCAGGGATCTGGCCATTGACTTGCGCATGACTCTATGTGATTGGTTTAGGGTGGTGCACCTTTATCGCATGGGCGGCGCCGGTGTTTCGGATCAGCAAATGGAAACAGCCTGGCGTGAGATTGGACATCATTTTGCGAATCTGAAGTCCTGGGAGAGTGCCAAGGAGTACTATGAAAAGTCACATTACCTAGAGGGCTCCATTGAGTCTCTTTACCACTTGGAACAGTTTGATGAGCTGGTAACGTTCGTGGACAAACTCTCAGAGAAGAGTCCGCTGCTTACAAAATTAGCCGAGATGCTAGTCTCTGTTGGTAAGAGCCGCGACACCATTCCAATTTATTTGTAACTAACATTAATTCGTCTTCAATAAAGGCATGTGTTCGGAGGCTGTGCAGGCATATCTGAAATTCGGCGATCCTAAGGCCGCTGTCAATGCGTGTGTAAATTTGCGTCAATGGGGTCAGGCCGTGGAGCTGGCTCAAAGGTATCAAATGCCGGAGGTGAATGTGCTGCTCAGCAAGCATGCAGCACAGCTCTTGAACGAAGGACGGCTGCCGGAGGCCATTGAGCTGCAGCGCAAGGCTGGCAAGCATTTGGATGCAGCGCGTCTGCTCTGTAAGCTGGCCGAGCAGGAGGTGGAGAAGCGTGCCCCGTTGCTGCGCATCAAGAAGATTTACATACTGGCCGCTCTGCTTGCCGAAGATCATCTCAAGTCGCTGGCCACGCCCCAATTAGACTATGCCATCGATCGGAATCGCCTGCTGGACGAGATTAGCTTGGAGGACGCCGCTTGCATTGAGCGCATCTGGCATTGCGCAGAGGGCTATCATTATATGCTGCTCGCCCAGAGGCAACTACGTTTTGGCATCATGCACAGTGCTGTGATCACATCCTTGCGACTGCGTGACTACGACGATGTCCTGCCCGTGGAGGATATATACAGTCTGCTAGCCTTGGCCAGTTGTGCAGACAGATCCTTTGACACGTGCTCGCGGGCATTTATGAAGCTGGAGTCCCTGGAATCGCTGCCCGAGAAGATGCAGCAAGAGTACGAGGAGCTGGCCGTAAGCATATTCTCGAAAAATGAGCCCGAGGATCACAAAGTGGACACCGTCGCTTGCTATAGCTGTGCAGCCCATGTCCCGGACAAGTGAGTGTTAAGTTGAGTATGAATTACGGTCTTTACATTGTTTATCATTTGTATTCTTAGTTTGCCATCCTGCATGGAGTGTGGTGCTCGTTTTCCGGGCTGTGTTTCGTCGGGCAAGCCCATCACGCAGCCAACGAGCAATATTTGGATATGTTCGACTTGCCATCACTGCGCATCGCCTATGGAGATAACAAGGCATCGAACATGTCCGTTGTGTCACAGCCCAATTGCCTTAATAAAGTGAACAATGAAAAAATATGTAATATATATATATTTTTGTTTGTAAACAATAGGTAGATAACATAGGCGGTTGTTAACTAAACAGCTGTTAAATGCAGCGTTTCGTTAAGTGAGTAAGTAGTTTATAGTTGTGACGCCACCTATTGGAAGTCGATTGAAACGAATTTATTCACAGAAAATCGGTATTAAATCGGGCGCCCCCTGTTGGCCACTGCTCATTGAACGAACATTTGTTTACTGTAGAGTGCTTTGTACCTTTTGCAACACTCAAATTCGCGCAGTTTACAGCACTGACTGTGTGAGTGGTAACCCGCCTGGAAATTGTCTAGCAGAAATTGTGCCGTGTTTATTTATTAATGTGAATTGCAAAATTTACGTTCTCTCGTAAAAGTGTTCCCAATCGCGCGTAGCTGGCCACACATTGTGCCTCCGGCGCCGCTGTTATCCCACAGGGTGCACGGTCTCCAGCCCAAAACACCCTAAACACCGCCTCCCCCCGCCAAATTGCAACGCTCAGCTGTTTTGCTGTTTCGCTGCTTCACCTGCTCCTGCAGGAGTCTCAAAATTGTGTTAAATGGTGTCAAATCCAGTGATTCGTAGCTTAGTGAAGTCGCCTAGTTAGCCCAAATAGCACAGGTAAGTTTTCAAATTGTTTATTTTCTGGTTGGCAAGCGGCATATTCTGCAATTGGGCGTTTCTCCAAAACGCGCGCCAAAACGTTGGCAATTTGTTTTTGTTGCTCGTTTGTTTGTTTTGTTTCGCGTGTGTTTAAAGTGCGCGCAAATCGTGCGAAATGTTTAACGCGTGTACATCAGACGTGCGCTCGATACGGTCAAGGACGCGCGTAATATTGTGCGAGTGCAGTGCAAGGATGTTGCAGGACAATCTGCAAGCTGCTGCAACCTGTTTACCTGTTCAGCTGACACTCCAGCTCCAGCTGCTACAACTGCTGCTACATTGTCAAGGTGAGTGCCACACGTGTATTACACAATTTCCTTATCCTTAGAGCCACTCTTTGCAGTCACACATTAAGTCACCTTTTCTTGTTCGCAGTCTAGTATATTTTATATTTAATTATAAAGCGAAATCGCTCAATTTAAATTCTTTCGCTTCCTCAGCCACTATGTCTATTTACATATATACTAATTAATTAAGTCATGGTATATTGGTTTAGCTCTACTGTATGTAACAGGTTATCAAGTTTTTACGTCGTTTGTTCACCCATTTCTATGATCATTTATTATTAACACCCATTAAAAAGGAATAGAGTTGCATCAGCATCTGAATTATATTCTATTTATATTCACATTCGTATATTTTACAGTCTACAGTCTGCAGGGTATCTCATAGTCAAGCCTCCTCTAAACTAACAATTCGCTCGCACTCGATATTTTTCCTGCTCTTCTATTGTTATTTTTATAAGCAATAAGTTTTGTTTTCAATTTTCCGTTTTACTCTCTGAGTGGAATTTATTTGTTGTTAGCATTTTCTTTGCTTTTCTTTCCGTTTGCTCGCTTTTCGAACATTTTCCGAGCAAGGCACTCGCACGCCTTCTGCTCGCTTTGGCTGCCATTCAGTTTGACTCTTGTTGTGTGTTCGTGCGGGTCGCGTCGACGAGCTTTCCGTTTGCCATTTTCCGTTACGTTTTCCGCCGTACTTTTCGTCTCTTGCTGTGCTGTCTGAAATAACGAAAGTTTACCGCTATATATATATTTTGTGATCTGTTGTGGATTCTCCAAGAGTTTGAAGTGATTTTTCAAACAAATTTTCGATTGTAATATCTAAAATCGTGTATACGCCCAGTTAACCAAACGCGTTGTCGGCTTCTTTGGGACAACGCAGCGCTAATTGGATTGTCAACAGTTTAAGCCCTATTGTCTGTCACAACATATTCCAGAGAAACACACTGAGCGGGAAAGACGGGTAGGGAGTGAGAGACAACTCCGCATAACTTCGCCTTGGCATAGCATAACAATCAATAGTCGCTATTGTTTTTGTTATTGTTTTGCCCGCCTTACTTTGTGCGCCATGTACTTTGGCCTACAATGTGCTGCACGAGTTTCTGTGACAACGTGAACCAATGTAAATCCAGCCACAACAAACCGTCACCAAATAACAAAATCGAAGTAGCAGCAGCAGCAGCAAAAGCAGCAAAGCAGAGTTTATCGGCATTTCTAACACATTTTTCGTTAACTTTCGGATACTTTGGGAAGCGCCACATTTGAATGCTGTACAGTATATAGAAAAAGTGTAAGTATTCTCTGGGTAATATCCGGAATGGCTGGAGTACAGATTACTATATCTGATATATATTTGTAGATTATAAAAAAATAGGCTTCGATTCATCTTTCTTAAAAAGATAAAAAATATTAGATTTTTTTTAAGATTTTAAAATCTGTGAAATCCTTATATATCTAGAACATTTATCATATATTAAATATATTTTATTTTTTAATTATATATTAATTAATATATAATTATTAATTTTTTCTGACTAATTTGTTATGCATATAATATGATCTC